ACATATAAGAAACAGCATGAACGCAGCCTCTCCCTGTGTTAGTATGCAAGTGTAAAACTGCTACAAAAACAACCGACGACTTGATGAACGGCTTTTTGTTTGCAAGTGTGGTTGTGTCATTGCACAATTATCTGTGCAATGACGAGTGTCAACACAAATACACACGCACATACACTTCATTAGAACATCTTTCAACTGGTGAACTAGGGTGGTGGGAGTGTACCAAAGAGTGCAGTCATGCATGTGAGTCAGTCTGAGGAAATGTAATATATTTGGATGTAACATAGGGGACAGCTGAAAAACAAGCAATAGCAAAATCTTGGTTTATACAACTGGAATGTGGCTGTGAGGGAGCAAAGGTGAGGGTAGTTCATTGTGTGTCAAGAAGGATAGCCAAACGATATGGATCAACTGAGAAGCAAGCAAAGACGCTTAAGAAGGAGACAAAAAAATACAAACACAGACACACAAACAGCCTACTTGAAGATTGTATTTAGGGTGTGAGGTGCTGTGGTTCCTTAAGAAGCGAATGAACCACAGGAGAGGAAAAATAGGATGATAAGAGAGAGGGAGGCAGACATCTCCAAAGTTGGCGCACTGGAAGAACACCTTATAATTATCCACATCCGCTCTGCCGGCCCCAGCCCATAAGACAGACAGATAGAACAGAAAGAAACGAAGAGCAAGAGAAGGAAAGATGCTCAATACATGCACAAGATGCACTGATAAACCAGCACACATGCAACCACCCAAAAACACTACATATTTTCATAAGCAGGCACACCCACACACAAACACACATGGACACAGTCACACAGGGCTTATTATGGGGCTGAGTCCAGACTGCGTTCAGTGCGGTTCCACACCATGTGTCTATTTTGAAGGGTTGTAAGCCAATTCCAGATTCTCCATCTCTTTCTCGGTTTCACTCTTTCTTTCCTCCTCAGTTCCACCCATCAAGCCAGCATGGGTTGGCATTAAGAGGTCATACAGTGGGCTCCATAGTTACCCAGAGCTGAGGGTAATTATCAGACTGTTTAAGTTCTAAAGTGTTGCCCGCTCTGTCATTTTTAGGGATCACAGTATTTTTTCAGTTCTCCAGAATAACCCCACAGGAGTTATACATTAGGCTCACTGTCTAATGTGTGTGCATAGACTGACCTTTAGGGGTCAGTGTTCCTCCTGAAGGCTACTTACAATACGGAAGACATGGATTGTGTTCAGGAATGTGATTGTGTGCAGGTATGCATCGATCCAGGGAAGAGTATCACTATTTTCTCCTTGTAATTCACATGAATTCTGTATTGCAATAGTGCCACACCATCCCATGTGATAATGACTCGGTTTGACTAGGAAATCTGGTTGTTGTTAGGTTCTTTCTGTTATTACTCAGCACAGATTTTTATGAATTAGTCAAACACATCAGCACATTTGATGAAGTAATAGGAACAAAATGTGCAAAATCTTTGCTAAGCAAGATTATTTTAATGTACTTGGACTTGAAGCTTCACCTTATGTCTCCTTCTCCTTGTGTTATTAGTAAAGGCAAGGAAAGTAAGTGCTATTTTAGTCTCAAGGAGAAGAGAAAATCATTAACTCTTCTGATCATCGTCCTGTCCCCATGAAGCCAGATCCTTTTTGCTGAATGTCTAACTGACCCCATTGGGAAATCATTTACTCTGCACTTGCTGCACCAGCCGTCCCACGAGAAGTCATTCTATCTACCTGCCTCCATTTCTCAGTCATTCAACCTCTCAGACTGCTCACTGTGGCTGTCCTTTCCAGAAGAAGCAAATCAGTCACTTTTGTCTTGCTATATGTCCCTGGAGGCATGTCATCAGCACCCATGATGAATGATTTCACGGGACCCTGCTCACGTCCGTGTCGTATATTTGACTGTCCTAAATCACAGGCCTTGCTTGTTCTTGGAACTGTCCTGCTCGTGGGACTCTGTTTCACTCTGTACTCGTGTGATCATCAGTAGTGGAAAGTAACTAAGTACATTTACTCAAGTATTGAACTTAAGTAATATTATGAGGTACCTGCACTTCATTGACTATCTTAATTTTGTGCTATTTCATACTTTGACTTCACTATATTTTAGAGGCAAATGCCTTTGTAATTTTAGTTGCTAGTTATGTTTCAGAACCAGATTAATTAAAACATTATAGTATAATCATAAGACATGAGCACTTTTACTTGTAGTACTTTAAGTATGTTTTGACGCTGAAACTTTGTACTTTTACTTAACTATGATTTTGAATGCAGGACTTTTACTTGTAACAGAATATTTTTACACTGTGGTATTGCTACTTTAACTTAAGTAAGAGATCAGAGTATTTCCTTCATCACTTGCGATTGTCTCACTTGAGGGCCCTGCCCTTTCTTTTGCTCCATGCTTGTTTGACTGTCCTTCTCAGAAGGATTCCTCCTTGTTGTTTATTTGACTTAATTACTATGCAGGCTTTGTGGAGGGAAAGGGGATGAGTGACACTTTACTTAACGACCAGCCTTCCTCCCTATTGCGTTGTCTACAGTATGTCTGTCAGCTTTTCCTTCATTAAAAGCAAATCTCCTTCCCTCCACCATCACAACGCCGTCCTCTCCTTCCTCCCTCCATCCGCCACAGTGTGGGTGTTAACTGAGAATTGTCCCCTGACAGGCATCAAGAGAGCTATCAAACACCTGTGGGCCACAGACACTGGCGAGCAGTGACGCACCAGGACGATGGCGCACGGTATGCTCTGATGCCTTTACATCCCGTGTTCACTCATACACACACACACACACACACAAAACGCACAAGACAACAGCAGTTTGCGATCACACATAATTGTAGAAACATTGATTCAACAGCACAGTAAAAGATACCAATTTGTGAGCTCATGCATACAAGCACAAGCTCACGCACCAAACCAGGTGTCTAATTATATGAGTGCATGCCAGAGCTGACACTCTTTTGCCTTGCTAAAACAGACACACAAACTGAAACACAGAGACACCACTTATAAGTCTAAGGTTTGGAAATCACAAGAGAGGGTGTTGAGTTCTCACACCAAGCTCTGGCAAGAACATTCACACATGCACACACATACACAAACATACATAAACAACAAGGGTCTGATGTACTTTTAGCAAAAAGGATTGTACATCTATCATGACAGTCTATACTTTCCCACCGGACCTGCTCTCTTGGTTTTACAGTACAATACACATCCATCATTTGTACAGTCAGTCAGTACAGTCTTTGATGCTTGATGACATACAGCATCTCTTGTCTAGTACTGTTGTCAGACTGAACAGTGAAGATCACAAAAGGGGGCAGGAGCGAACTATATTCACATTCTTTAAGCAGATGGCTGTGTAAAGAAGGGATGAAATTTTCCCATCATGCCTGGAGGTTTGGCTTTGTGTGAACTGACATGATGGAGCCTGGGGATATGCTGTATGACTTGCAGCAAGTAAATTCTACTATGATTCTTTCCAGATTTATTGTTGTTCACAGGGTAGATTCATGTCATGACAATTTTAAATCTTAATCATCCTATGACAACCACACCAAATCCATCAGGAGACACTGGAAAGTGTATTAAAAATGCTGAAATACAAAATGTACATACATTATATTTTAGATGTTGCACGTAATTGTCATACAAGCTTGGAAGCTGAAACGGTGATAAAGGAAACTATCCGAAAATTACAACGTGCAGGCCACTTACAGACTAAAGTCATATAGAAGACCTCTAAACATAAGTTATACCAAACATCTTGACTAAAGATAGAAAATGAATTACAGTGACGAACATGATTTCCCCTCGGCTTGGAGTGGAATTAACTGAGGAACCCAGTCTTCAGCTCAAGCACATGTGGAGAGCGTAACCACTGTTTTCAGCTGCACAACAATGGCACATCAGCCTGTTCATAAATTTCCAAAAAGCATGTTTTATGAGGGAAAAGGGACTAAAATAAAGAATCAAGAGACCACACTCTATGCCATATACTTTGCTTTAGGACAAAGAACCACAATAGCCTCCCCCACTGACATTAAAAAGCACCAAAAAAAAAAAAACCCTTACCAAAATATGCCAAAAATGTTGCCAGTTATTTCAAGCTGAGATGAAAAGTCTGCTATTATAAAAAGCCTGATTTAGTGTAGGGTGTGAGAAAGGAGATGAGACAGAGAGAAAGGAAGAGAGAAATAGGGAGGAGGAGAGGAAGAACCGGCGCTCCGCAGTCTCCCCTCAAAATAACACAGAGGGAGAGAGAATAACATGTTTGCTGTATATGTCAAAAACTTACACGTGCATGTCGCAAAAAGACACACAAACTCCCTCTCATTCCCCACCAATACTTTGTGCTGCAAATGATGATTTTATACACAAGCGTTAAATCGCCATGAAGTTTTCTATTTAAACAAAACTCTCCAACTGTTGGATTCATTAAGGATACAGTAATGAGAGGTCGGGAAACCTGACTCTGTGTCATGACCTTTGTAGGACAGAAGCTAATAAAACAGAGGCTGTACTGCCTGTTCAGAGCACTTAATAGAGCTGTACAGTACTAGCAAAAGGGGACAGCACAAGGGAAGAACTGGTACAGGGGCCAATATATACATTCAACTTCAGACGCGAGCCCTTCCTCTGCATATGGAACCAATCTGACTATGTGTAAGTATGTGTAAGGAGAATAGTGAATTCTGAAAGACAGGCAGAACAAGAAAGAAGGAGAGAAATACAGAAGGTACAGAGAGAGATAGGTGCTGTATGCTGACCATGATTGAGGAAAAAGTGAATAATAACAAAACCAGAGGCAGCAAAAGATTCACAGAAATAGAGGAGGAGAAAAAGAGATAATACAAAAAGAATGGATCAAAAGAAAAGCATGAAAGAGCAGCGACGGCATGAAAAATAAACCAGACAAGCGAGTCTGCCTTAAAAACACCAGCTACTGCCAGAGTCCCATATATCCTGTAGTCAGTGGAAAGTGGAGAATAGGCTTACCCTTGTATGACAGTTTTAGCCTGGGTACATTGTGCTTGGGCTCAGCTCCTCTTCCCGTCTGTGCCGCCCCGCACAGCAGCACTACAATCCCAAACAGGTAATCCATGGTGCTGGAGTGCTGCTGGCTGGCCTCCAGACCAGGGGGCACTCACACCCTGACCAGTGCCCCGCGATAAGTGTCTCCAGCTGGGAAACACCAAGCCTGGAGAGTCTCTCCACGCGAGCCCTGAAAGTGGAGGTTCCAGGAAAGAAGAAAATATCCTGGTTGTGCCCCCCAGCTCAGGGTGCAGACTGTGGGAGAGGGGCACTTCTGTAGTGTGTGGTAGGTGCCGGGTGCCGCTCACATGGCTCCCTGAGTGGAGGTCCAGGATATATAGTCCATTGGTTTATCTGTCTTCCCTCAGGTGAATGCTCAGCGAGGCTTCAGCATGCTGTGACTGAGGTGAGAAGTAAAGCCTGTGAAAAGGTAAACCAGACCACTTATCCACAATAGTAAGGCTATTTTGTTCTAGAGAAATTTTATCTCTGTCTGTCTTCTGGCTTCTTCCCTTTGAGCAGACACACACAACAACCCTCTAATCCTTGTGTGCAGCTCCACCAGACTGTGTGAGAGAGAGAGAGAGGACAAGAGAGAGAGCTACACCATCCACGGGAGGAGAGGGGAGGGGAGGGAGAGCAGCTGAGAGTGAGAGAGAAGAAGAGTGCTGGTGAGGGGGGGGGGGGGGGGGGTGGAACAAGGA